CCTTAGTGTACAAGTGGCTCAAACTGGCAGGAACTGGCGGACGTGTAACACATTTTAACCATGAGGTAAAGACTAAACAAAACTTTCCATCCGGAGCTCCTTTACAGGACTCCACAAGCTTAAACAGTCGTTCTCGGTCCCGCCCAGACTCGTCAGCGCTACCAAGCCGACCAATCACAAAGCTTGCGCTATGTGCCGTTGCAACGTGCAGTTACATTTTTTGAGAGGTGCGCCATAGCATACGCGTGAGCTTGACTCAGAAGTATAAATCAGCCTTTAGTTGTTTAAAATACTATAATGTATAAGAAATAGAGAAATAAGTCCGTAAAACAACAGAAAATGTGCTGGCAGGTTATTACCAGGTTTTTGAAATATACAACACCAACCCAGACAATAGATCACTTTAAACTATTAAAAATGTTCATAAACATCACTTTTTTTTTACTTTTCAAGGTTAAAAGTTGTTGGAAAAAAGATCAAGCTGCCATAATGCAATTCAAAAGCATAAATAAAGGGGTAAAAATAAAAACATGAATTACAAAATATAGAAATCTGCTAATTTTTTTACAGTGTATATATCAATTTTGGTCATTCATTCACTTCATTTCATTATTATTTCTTTATTTTTGTTTCATACTGTCCCTCATTATTGATACTCAAATTGTATAGTCATAATAAAAAACAATAAAAAAAGTTAAATAAAAATTCTTTTTCTGTCTAATATAGATGTCAATGGCTGATTTCTTTCCCCCAACATTCTCCAGAATATCCTCTTTTGTGTTAAAAAAAAAAAAGAGAAACTCAGAGTTTACAAACAACTGGATTGAGAGTATAGTACATACAATTTTTAGGTGAACTGTCCCTTTAAGAAAATTTTCACCCCACAATCATAATTAAATCTAATATATTTCATTAATCTATCCATCTAACTATCCCTCTATCCATCCAACTATCCATCGAACAATCCATCAATCTATCCGTCTAACTATCCCTCCATCCATCCATCCATCCATCGAACTATCCTTCAATCTATTCGTCTAACTATCCCTCCATCCATCCATTCATCCATCCAACTATCTATCCCTCCATCTATCCATCCATCCCAACAACTATCCATGCATCCATCAATCGAACTATCCATCGATCTATCCAACTATCAATTTATGCATCCTTCCATCCAAATATCTATCCCTTTATCTATCCATCCACCTAATTATTCATCCATCCATCCATCCATCCATCCATCCATCCATCCATCCATCCATCCATCTATCTATCTATCAATCAATCCATCCATCCATCCATCCAACTATGTATCCAACCATCCATCTAACTATCAATCTATGCATCCATCCATCCATCCATCGATCTATCCATCTAACTATCCATCCTTCCATCCATCCATCGAACTATCCATAGATCTATCCATCTAACTATCAATCCATCCATCCATCCATTCATCCAACTATCTATCCCTCCATCTATCCATCCATCCATCCAACTATCCATGCATCCATCAATCAAACTATCCATCGATCTATCCAACTATCAATTTATGCATCCTTCCATCCAAATATCTATCCCTTTATCTATCCATCCACCTAATTATTCATCCATCCATCCATCCATCTAACTATCCATCCATCCATCCATCCATCCATCCATCCAACTATCCATCCATCCATCCATCCATCCACCCATCCATGTAACTATCCATCCATCCATTCATCTATCATCCATCCATCCATTTATTTTTGTCTACATATTGATTGTATTTCCTTATGACTCGGGGTGAAATCTATATGAACGAGATAAGGTGATGTTGGGTATCTGAGCTTGAGAGAGATTGGATTATTGTGGTAGTGTTAAGCCACAAAGAAAGACATTCACATTAGTTCAAAGAGAGACACGATGGAGAACAAGCTCCGAAAATGTCAAGCAATGATTTTTAGTAATGCATTTACTGAAAAACGACAGAGAAATAGCTTAAAATCAACTATTAATGGTGTCAGATTTGATAGCTGTTAGTTTCAAAGTAGTATTTCCACAGCTCAGGAAGCCATGAAACACAGAATGTGTTAAAACAAACAGAAAGAATGAATTCACAGGTTCATATCAATACTAATCAATTTATAAAAATATAAACTTACTTCTAATTAGGTTTGGTTAAATTTAATCTTTGGTCAGTTTTATTTTAAACCTCTCAACTGTGTCGACCTTTGACATCTAGGTCTTGAATAAAAATGTGCTATGGTCTATATTATTTGGTCTTCTGATACACAAAACATAGAGAAACCTGTGTATTACTACTGTGTGTGTGTGTGTCTGTGTGTGTGTGTGTTGTGTGTGTGTGTATGCGTGCAGCCAGACTAAATACTATTAGGGTCTTTTAGATGTTCAACACTGTATCCACACCGGATATTTACGGCAACACAATAAAACAAGAGTTGTACAGTTTATGATCAGCATTAACTATGTTTGTGTTCAATTATATATATGTGCATGTTTACATCATGTCTGACTGACCATCAAGTCCAGTTTATGATATGATGTACTAATATCTATATATTTTTGCGCCATATGCATATTCAGAACATGACAATTGTGTAATTAATTTTACACATGCATTTTTTTCATATACATTGTAGCATTTAAATATATATATATATATATATATATATATATATATATATATATATATATATATATATGTCAACTGTTTCTGGTGTGATTTATTAAAATGAATCCCTATGTCCATATCCATATGTATTTGTTATTTGTAGGAGTATAAACATAACTACAATTTCAAGAGTTCACACTTAGATATTGCTTGATATTAATAGCAGGTTCGGCATGCTGCCTGGGAAAGAACCCTAAACTCAGAGATAATAGAGCCCAGGGCTCCCGTCTGGTCAATTAGCATGTAAGGGGGTCAGGTAGTTCTCGAGAGCTCCACCTGGTGGAGGACAAAAAGGAGGAAATGGGTCGGAAGAAGGGATTTTTCAAAAAAAGAAAGGAGTAAGGCTAGACGGGCTATTTATAGTGAGTCTGTAATAATCCGATTGGTTTACTAATGATTACAGATAACAGACCAGCAGTGATATCACGTGCTCCACTTTAAATTAAACAAAAATGTTAAATCAATGCGAATGCAAATCTTTTTTTTTCCGCAACTGATTTCACTGTAATATTACCAGTCACTTAAATCTGGCTTTACATATTTATTTTTTTACATTTCTAACTGTATACAGTTGAAGTCAGAATTATAAGCCCCCCCGTTTATTTTTTTCTCCCAATGTCTGTTTAGTGGACAGAAGATTCTTTTAACACATTTCTAATCATAATAGTTTTAATAACTCATTTCTAATAACTGATTTATTTCATCTTTGCCATGATGACAGTAAATAATATTTGTCTAGATATTTTTCAAGACACTTCTATACAGCTTACAGTGACATTTAAAGGCTTAACTAGGTTAATTAGGTTAACTAGGCAGGTTAGGGTAATTAGGCAAGTTATTGTATAACAATGGTTTGCTCTGTAGACTATCGAAAAAAAAAAAAGATTAAAGGGGCTAATAATATTGACCTTAAAATGGTTCTTAAAAAATTAAAAACTCTTTTCATTCTAACCGAAGTAAAACAAATAAGACTTACTCCAGAAGAAAAAATATTATCAGACATACTCTGGAAATTTCTTTGCTCTGTTAAACATTATTTAAGAAATATTTTAAAAAGAAAAAAAAAATCTAAGGGGGCTAATAATTCTGACTTTAACTGTATATATGAAGTGTAAAAATGTAAAAAAAAAAAAAAAAAAAAATATATATATATATATATATATATATATATATATACACATTACTTTCAAAATTAATCACATAATATATTTTATATTATGTAATACAAAATACATAAATTAATTAATTTTACTAGAATTTAGCCTTCTGCTTTAATAAATTTTATAAATGCATATGCAAACTGTAAGAAGTGTTTAGTTGCCTAGTAAAACTTATTGCTGTAAAAGCGATCAGTTGATATGTACTTTAAAAAGTGAGTACGCCTGTTACATTTTTTAAAATTATTATTATTTTTTCGGGGTTTTCACCTTTATAAGGCTAGACGCATGTGCATGTGTAGACGCACTAACCACTACACCACTGGTGCGGACACGCCTGTTGCTTTTAAAGCAATAAGTTGGTTTTCACTTTAAAGCAACTGGTTTATTCAGGTTTTTAAGCGATTAGTTGATTTTTACTTAAAAAAAATGAGTAACCCTGCTGCTTTTAAAGCGAATGCTTGATCTTTCCTTTAAAGTAACTGGTTTATTCACGTTTTAAAACGATTTGTTGATTTTTACTTCACAAAAGTGAGATCTTGTCTTAAAACTACTAAAAATAATTATAAGTCCATCATTTTAAAAATCAGTTAATTGAACATAACAGTTCCAAGTAACAACAGATTTACTTGCCTTTTTAAGTATAGGCAACTTGTTGCTTTTTACATTGCATATGCATTTGTAAGACTATTGCATATACACTACTTATAAGTGTCTACTTGCATTTTTATAGACTTGTTTGCATTGTTTTGTTACAATACTGGGGCAGCACAGTGGCTCAGTGGTTAGCACTGTCACCTCACAGCAAAAAGGTCGCTGGTTTAAGTCCCAACTGGACCAGTTAGCATTTCTGTGGAGAGTTTGCATGTTCTTCCCATGCTGGCGTGGATTTCCTCTAGGAGTTCCGGTTTTTCCCACAGTCCAAAGACATGTGCTAGAAGTGAATTGGTTTAAATAGATTGACTATAGTGAATGAATGTGTGTGTGAATGCTTGAGTGTATGATTTGTTTCCCTGTACTGGGTTGCGACTGGAAGGACATTCGCTGCATAAAAAAAAACATTTGCTGGAATAGTTGGTGGTTCATTCCGCTGTGGCGACCCTTCACAAATAAGGGACTAAGCCAAAGGAATATGAATGAATAAATGTTCCAATACTATTCGCTTTAGCGTGTTTAGTTTAATTTCTCCCTCGGTCTATATATAATAATAAGAAAAAGAATGCATGTGTAAAATACGATTTGAAGTTACTACTTTGAAAATCAATTTCTTCGAAAAGAACAAACGATTTACAGCTGATTTAAACTGTGATGCTGAATCATCCAGTGTTGACGGCCTTCGAGTTGTCGCAATGTCAGCCGCATCCAGTGTAGACATCAATGTGTTTAAAACAGACCCTCGGCTTGTGTTCGACTTACTAACCACCTGGAAACTTTTCCCATCCGCCAAATCCTGTCCGCTGTCTGCTTGTTATTCTACAAACACACGCTGATTTGATAGTGAAACGATTGTATAATACATTCACAAGGTAGACAGCCGTCAGCGTTAGATGTCTGGTAGTTTCGTGCGACACACATGTTTGTGCCTCCACCGTGAGTCTCGTGCTCAATCTCGCACGACTCCATCTCTTTTCTCTGTTTGGCTGCCGAAAACGCTCTCCATCAGGGCAGGAACTCTGGAGCATTTTTCCATCCGTGGCTTCTTTTGATCGCTTATTTCTTCTGTCAGAAGAACATATACTGGTTGTCGATGGCTCTCTTGCGCCCCCTATCAGGCGGCTCCAGTTCGTAGTCCGAGTCCCGGTTGGGCAGGAGGGGTGGCAGTGGGTTTGGATGGCGGAGCAGGTTTCTGCGGCCCACAGACTCGCTGCGGTGTAGGGGAGCGTGACGGTCTGGAAGGAATGAAGGAGTGCGGTGTGAGAGTCCGGCTAACGATGAAGGAGGCGAACAGGACTGGGCCATGGAAGAGCTGGAGTGAGGACACGAATCCGGACTGCAGTGAGCCAAACTGGGCTCTGAACTCCAGCGTGAGAAAGGCACCAACACAGGAGAGCCAAAAGCCGAGCTCTGACCTGGAGAGAAGAAACAAACAAAAAAAGTGTGTAAAAATGTGCGTTTCTGACTATTCTAATGCAGTGTTCCCCAACCCTGTTCCTGAAGGCACACCAACAGTGCATATTTTGGATGTATCCCTTATCTGACCCATTCATTTCAGGTTTTGGAGTCTCTTCTAATGTTCTGCTGAGTGAATTTAGGTGTGTTTAAATAAGGAGAGGTTGAAATTGAGTAGGCGAGGCAGTGGCGCAGTAGGTAGTGCTGTCTCACAACAAGAAGGTCGCTGGTTCGAACCTCGGCTCAGTTGGCGTTTCTGTGTGGAGTTTGCATGTTCTCCCTGCCTACACGTGGGTTTCCTCCGGGTGCTCCGGTTTCCCCCACAGTCCAAAGACATGCGGTACAGGTGAATTGGGTAGTCTAAACTGTCCGTAGTGTATGAGTGTGTGTGTGTGAATGTGTGTGTGGATGATTCCCAGAGATGGGTTGCGGCTGGAAGGGCATCCGCTGCGTAAAAACTTGCTGGATAAGTTGGTGGTTGATTCCACTGTGGCGACCCCGAATTAATAAAGGGACTAAGCCGACAAGAAAATGAGTGAATGAATGAAATTGAGTACAGTTGGTGTGCCTGTAGGAACATGGTTGGGAAGCACAGCTCTAAAGCATAAAAATATCATAATATGTTTGCAGATATTTAAGAAACATGCTAAGTGAACATGTAAAACAATGCTAAAGCCAGTTTTTCTGCTTTGGAGTTGTGTGTTTGATTCAGCCTCTTTAACCAGCCCCTTGCCAGTTTACCTAATTATATTTCAGCACTCAGGGTTGCCTTGGTGGATAACGCAGTGCGTTTCATTTCATGCTTGAAGGATTATCAATGTATGTAGTCGATGACAAAAATGCAATCACCAGAGTACAGCAGCAGCCTTCGAAATGAGATGCGGATTCAGAGTTATAAAAATCCACATGAGGTGGTTATTAATTAGCAAATATTACAAATAATATAAATGTAAACATTAGCTGAACAGTTTACAGTGTAAGGTTTGACCGTCAGGCACACTTGCTCCAGTTTGTGTGGTCAATCTGGCAACCTGCACTTGTGTAGAGTGAGAGGAGGAGGGGTCGGGTGAAAAACCAGTGAGGGGGCTGGATGCAGACCAGGTTTCCTTTTATTAATCCAGGGTCGCCACAGCAGAATGAACCGATAACCTATCCAGCACACGTTCCATGCAGCGGATGCCCTTTCAGCCACAACTCATCCCTGGGAAACATCCACACACACCAATCCACACTCATACACTATGGACAATTTAGTCTACCCAATTCACCTGTGCCACATGTCTTCAGACTGTGGGGGAAACCGGAGCACCTGAAGGAAACCCATGCGGACCCAGGGAGAACATGCAAACTCCACACAGAAACGCCAACTGACCCAGCCAAGGCTCGAACCAGCAACCTTTGTGCTGTGAGGCGACAGCTACCTACTGCGCCACTGCGTCGCACTGTGTCTGACATTGCATGTCTAAAATATGCATTTTCAGCTTGCAAATCCAAATCTGCATGCAGACACTATTAAAAAAAACATCTCCAATTATATGAATTTGGGCGGTCAATTCTTCATATTAAACCTTTGAAATGAAACTGAAAATACTGAATGTACTTGGCTGAAAACAGAAAATGCTTTGTTTACAATTATTTCTTATTTTTAGTGCTGGGCAAAGATTAATTAAAAGTTTGTTTTGGCATAATATATGTGTGTGTGTGTGTTACATACTACTACTACTACTCTATACTACACTATACTATACTATACTGTACTGTACACATACTACCAGTCAAAAAACATTATTCTGTTCATTAAGCATTGTTGAAGCATTTATTAAATGTAAAAAATGTTAAAGATGATATAATATTTATTAAAATTTTAAATAACTCTTATTGTATGTAGTTTTAAAAGAAATTATTACTCCAGTAATTATTGCTTTTATTACTATTACATTAATAAAAATATTAATAATAATAATTAAATTAGAGTGATTTCTACGGGATCATGTGACTGAAGACTGGAGTAATGAAGCTGAAAATTCATCTTTAAAATCACTGGAATAAATGATTAAATCAAATGATAAACTACTTTCGATCAGTTATTTTATAGTGCAATAACATTTCACAATCTTACAATTTGTACTGCATTTCTTTCTGCAGGAGAAGCATATTTAAAAAATTTTAAAAATCTTAAAGACCCCAATGGTAGTGTGACTTGTAGTGTGTGTGTGTGTGTGTGTGTGTGTGTGTGTGTGTGTGTGTGTATATATATATATGTATATCGTCACCTTGGAATTATAAGGTTCTATACACGTCCGCATTCCATATAGCAAACAGTATGTGTGTAACATTTGTTTTTAAATAAAAAATCTTAAAATGTAAAAAACTTAAAAAAATAAATAAATAAAAAAAACATTCCATAATGCAAATAAGTTGTCATTTAATATTTAACATTTAAAATGTCAATAACTCGAATTTGACAAAATGTCTGATAGAACATTTTATATATATATATATATATATATATGTGTGTGTGTGTATGTATGTATACAGTTGAAGTCAGAATTATTATCCCCGAATGATTTTTATATATATATATATATATATATATATATATATATATATATATATATATATATATATATTTACCAAATGATGTTTAACAAAGCAAACTATTTTTTCACAGTATGTCTGACAATATTTTTTCTTCTGGAGAAAGTCTTTTTTGTTTTATTTCGGCTAGAATAAGATCAGTTTTTCATTTTTAAAACACCATTTTAAGGTCAACATTATTAGCCCCTTTAAGCTATTTTTGTTTCCGATAGTCTACAGGACAAACCATCATTATACAATAACTTGCCTAATTACCCTAACCTGCCTTGTTAACCTAATTAACCTAGTTAAGCCTTTAAATGTCACTTTAAGCTGTATAGAAGATAGAATAAATCAGTTATTTAGAAATATGTTATTAAAACTATTAAGTTTAGAAATGTATTGTAGAAATGATCTCTCCTTTAAACAAAAATTGGGGGAAAAAATAAACAGGAGGGCTAATAATGCTTTAAAATAAGCTTCTTCTGCTCACCAAAGCCGCATTTATTTAATGAGTAATATTAATTAACTACATGTACTATCCCTATCATTAGGGATAGAATGTGGTAAGGTTTAAGCTTATTTACATGCAATAATGCATAACTACCTATGTACTATGCATGTCAGTGGTTATCAATTTTCAACATTTTTCAAAATATCTTCTTTTGTGTTAAACACATGAAAGAAACTCAGCCTCGGTATGAGTATCCCCAGGTGGAAATGGAGAAAAAAAAGAGAATAATTAGCGTAGCTGCTGTTTATAGTGTATATAAGCATGATGCAGAAACTTCTGTCATTAACCATCACTAACCAGAAAGGAGCTCTAAAGGGCTGCGTTTGTATTTGTAAACATAGAAGGGGTCGGGCTTGATTTGTGATTTGTGATCGGGTTTGTGATGAGCTGATTAAATGAACAGTTCTTTAAGAAAAAACAAAACAAAGCAAAAACTCAATACCATGAAATACTCCCAGTTTCCCATAGAGGGCATTGTCTTCACAGCATCTGCATCCTCAAGTGTGTTTAAGACGTCTGAAGAATGTGTGTGTGTGTGTTGAGCCTAAGGATATACATGTGTACATGTATTAGTGCATGTGTCCACATTATTACAGCTGGCGTGGGTGGGACTACAGGAAACAGAGTCTTGATAACATGTTCGTCTGTAGTTCTCATGATATGCATGAAAGTGTATATAGACGAGTGTGCGCTTGAGAGAGAGCGCAGTTTTACTAGTCACTGAACTACTAAAACCCATCTAAACCACAAAACACAACAGGGAAACGGATCATGTCGATCTCTGAGCTTATTTGAGTGACAGAGAGAGGCAGAAAAGAAACTGTCTGTGCATTTTTAGATGCATTAAACTGCTGTCAAATCTGACTGACAGACATTTAATGTTTAACCATTCGGCAGATGTTTCTCAGTTCCTAAATCAGCAAAATATAAGTGTTGAAATATTTAGGTATTTCAGAACACCTGTGGTAAATATATATGCCAAAAATAAAGGTCTACTAAGGGGGAAATGATGCTTATGTAAAAGATGAACATTAAAAATAATATTAAATGAAGTCTTCTATCTTCTTCAATCTGTCTTTTTCCATCTCAGGGATGTTTTACCTGTGTCCCCCTCTATAGTATTTCGAAAAGCTCTAACCGTTCAAGATAAACTTGCGAGAAGCCATCTCTCCACTAAGAAGACTAATACTTGGTTAAGTCGAACAACAGGAAACTACAGATGTGGTAGTTGCAATCATTGTGATAACATACTTAAGACGAACATATTTAGAGAACTATCATCAGGCCGTGAATTTAAGATTAATTCATTTATTAATTGCAATACTACATTTGTTGTTTATCGACTGGAATGTCCGTGCGGATGTTTTTATAAAGGAATGACTAAGAGAAAATTAAAGTTGAGATTAGCGGAGCATAAAAATGCGATACGTACCTGTAATCCACAATATCCTATGGCTCTACATTATACAAATCAAGGTCACGGCAATCCCAGTTCATTAAAAATAGTTGGTATTGAACATATTAATAATTCTACAAGAGGAGGAGACAAGATAAAAAGATTAAAACAGAGAGAGATTTTTTGGATCTGTACATTAAAAGCAAATAGATTTCAAGCTTTAAATAGTGAATTAATTTTTCTTCTTTTTTGTAAAACAGTTTTTCTATAGATGCTTTACAGATGATCATCATATAATGTTGAATGTGCTTGTATATTCTTATGTGTACATGTTTATGTATATGCACATGTAAATATGTGTTCGTATGGAATTATGTATGCGCATGCCATGTTTAAGCATACTTTTCTGTACATCCTTGTTTATTAGTTTTATATATTTGTTTTCTCTCTCTCATATATGCAAGTGTATGTCTATGTATGGTTATATGTCCCCCTCTATCTATGCCGAATTAATGATGATAGTTGACTTTGTTTGTTAAATTATTTGATTGCTGTTGAGATATTTAAATAAGTCATGTGACCGTAGTACTCAAAAGAGACTCTAGACGCACCTGATCACTGTTAGCCTGATGAAGGCAGATCTTGCCGAAACGTGTAGGTTTTTTAAGATTTAGCCATGTGAATGAAGGCTTTTTAACTTTTGCATGTTTTTCGAGTGCCCTTGGACTGATTACTGTTGTTACTACTTCTACTTTCTACATACATAAAAAAACTGAGAGACTGAACTAAATGTTATTATATTTTGTATATTGAATGTATTGCTGATAAATGTATAATACACACACTTAATACACAAATAAACTTCCCTGAAAATGTACACATACAGTACACTACCTGACAAAAGTCTTGTCGCCTATCCAAGTTTAAGGAACAACAAATAATAACGTGACTTCTAGTTGATCATTTGGTCTCAGAAGTGGCTTATATGAAATGCAAAGGCCTCTAGATTACGCTTATTTTACCCAAATAAAATATGATCATGTCTTGATTTTGAATGATTTAATTAGGACAATAAAGTCTGACTTGCTGAGACAAAAGTTGTGTCACTTAACAGAAATAATGTGGAATAATGTGGAAAATTGTAGATGAAAACATCCTCAGCCTGAGGTATCAAGACATTTGTGCTGCCCATTACATTACAAACCACAGGAGAGGGCAAATTCTTCAGCAGGATAGCGCTCCTTCTCATACTTCAGCCTCAGCATCAAGGTTTCTGAAAGCAAAGAAGGTCAAGGTGCTCCAGGATTGGCCAGCCCAATCACCTGAGATGAACATTATTGAGCATGTCTGGGGTCAGATGAAGGAGGAGGCATTGAAGATGAAGCCAAATAATCTTGATGAACTTTGGGAGTCCTGCAGGAACGCTTTCTTTCCCATTCCAGATGACTTTATTAATCAGTGATTTGAGTCATTGCAGAGATGTGTGGATGCAGTCCTCCAAGATCATGATGGACTCAGACACGATATTCATTCTGTTTCCACTGCAGCATGACTTTATATTCTATTCTGGACATTATTTCTGTTAAGTGATAAGACTTTTATCTAAGCAAAGTCAGACCTTACTGTCCTAATTAAATCATTATAAATCAAGGCATGATCATATTTTATTTTGGTAAAATTAGCGTAATCTAGAGGCCTTTGCCTTTCATATAAGCCACTTCTGATAGCAAATGATCAACTAGAAATCAAGTTATTATTAGTTTCTAAAATTTGGATAGATGACAAGACTATTTGGCAGGTTGTGTGGACATTGCTAATAATATTACTGATAATATTGACCTTAAAAAAGTAAAAAAAAAAAAAAAAGTTTTTATTCTAGCCAAAATAAAAAAAAAGACGACTTTCTCCAAAATATCAGAAATACTGTGGAAATTTTCCTAAATCCGATAAACATTCATTTAATAAAAGAATAAATATTGCATAGAAGGGCTAATAATTTTGTAAATGCGACATCATAAGTGTCTCACCTGTGTGTGTGGGGTTGACGCGCACATAATTGGCCAGCATGACGTCACAGGCGGCTCCGCACTCCAATGGGATGGGACAATTGCGGAAGTGACTCAACATGTCCATGACTGAAGGGAAGCGCAGGTGCTGCACACGACACTGACCCCATTCAGTTAAAGACAGACGCAGATGCTGCAGAGGAACAACAACAGCGGAAAAATACATTATTAATACCGACATGTGCACAGAAAGCGAGCAAACGGTAATGGTTTGGATTACTCCACAATTAATATGGAGATCTGATATATCTGATATACTTTTAGAATAAATGAAATCATTATTATACCTCAATATATATATGTATGTATGTGTGTATATATATATATATATATATATATATATATATATATATATATATATATATATATACACACACACACACACACACACACACACACATATATATATATATATATATATATATATATATATATATATATATATATATATATATATATATATATATATATATATATATATATATATATATATATGTGTGTTTGTGTGTGTGTGTGTATATGTGTGTGTGTATATAAAGATATATATATATATATAAGCCAATATCAAACGAGTAGTAGGTGCGCGTTGGCTCGAGGCTGCAGGCTGAGTGCCTTAGTGTCCCAACAGTGACGATATACAGCCATATCACACTGCTACAAAGTGTGTTATTGCATTTATACAACAGTTCAACGACATAATCGTGTATATAAAAAAGAAAAGAAAATACAGGGAGTCTAAAAATGTTTTTGTATGACTAACGAATTTCTTCCGCCATTCATTCACATCTGGAGACCATTCCTGTCAACATTGGAATGTGTAAATAAGGGACTTGCCCACTATTATAGGGGTTACCACCCCTCCCCCCCCAAAAAAATCCCTGAATTACTAAATTACTGGTAATCTGGAGCTGTTTTATTCTAAATAAACAGTTAAACGGTCAGTAATATTTTTTATTATTATTATTTACAAAAAATAAAAATAAATAGTATACATTAAAAGCAAATAAATTAGCAAACAGTTCAGCTTATTTAAATTAATAGCTGTTATAAAGAAACAGAATCAAGTTATCAAATCTCATAAACCGTTTCTTAACTGTATAACTTACACATTCTGATTAAAGAGTAGCGTATAAATCTTTTATTTCGTTTTTTTTCATTTGATTACATTAAATAACAGAGGTGTCACTTTAAAAATGCACACATCTAGCTTTATAATAACAGACTCCCCTGTCATTTACGTGTACAGAATCTGTTTGGAAAACAGTGTCTATCGCTATGGAGTGCGTCAGCTGACAGTCACGCACCGCTATATAACTGTTTTGAGGATTATATATGAAGGGGCGATGGCACCTGTAATGGAAATGAAAGGGAATCCCGCGGTTTTATATTTATTTCAAAGTGTTTTCATGCATAAAGCGAAAGCACAGAACAGACTAGCATTTAAGAGCAAGGGGCGGCCCCTTGTGGTCTGGCGGTATGGGTTGCGTATAGGGAGGATTGGCCCTTTAATGTTTATTTACCACCTTTCAGAGAAAATACGTGAGAAATACTAGAAACACCTTTTACGGGATAATAGAGGGATAGAACTACAAAATACGGGAGAATCCCGGGAAAAACGGGAGGGTTGACAGGTATGCTGGAGACGCATTAGATGGCCATATAGAAAGAGTGGCTAACACAAAATGCATATACTCCTGATATGTTAGTCCCATCTCACACTCAGTACACTACAAGTATATGGTATAAATAGAGCAGTGCAACATACAAAAGAAAGAGGTCGACTCAGAAATTTTACTTACGAAATTACGAATTTCCTCCTTTAAGGGATTATTATGCGGTCTCAGTCGCCATCTTGTGGATGGACAACATCAACAGTCTTTAGTCCGCTCAATGACAGGCTAATGGCCGCCGACACGCTGTCTCCCCGAAATTATGAAGATTTAAAATAGGCACTATCCTTTATAAATAAACTGCATAGTTGCACTCTAAACAACTACATTTTCGGCTAAAAATGCTTCAAAAGTACATTATGTCGACCAATAGGGATGAGACGATAACTGTTATCAAGGTATATCGTGATTTGGAAACGTTTTAAAGCCACCTAAATTTTCTGCTATACCATTCCTAAGGTATGTGTAAGAGTATTTATTTATTTCATTTTATTTTGTTTTTAATTATTTATTTATTTCTAAATGTATATTTTTTTTGTTTTTTAGGACAGCAGTATCTCCAGCAGAAAAGTTATCCAAAGACGCCATTTTAAATTGTCAAGAAATTTGGGTTTTTGAAACAAATGAAGACAGCAGAAGTCAAAGACTCATTTTAATTATTTAGCCTGACATGTTTACAGCTCTAAATGTCTTTTAAAATAAAATATTTTGCGTTCGAAGGGGAAAAAAGTTGTTGTTTTTTACCCAGACATTTAAAAAGAATATGAAGAGTTTAGATGCAAAAACCTCTAAGTGGCATCTGAAATGTTTTTCTAAAATTAAAATATTTCTCAGGCTCTTATGTCTTGATTCAGTATTTTCACTTTTATAGCAAAGAATAGGTCATTTTCACCAGTTAACATGAAAAAAATGAACATAAACATAAACATAAGAGGCAGAGAAAAATGCTCAATGTAGAAGAAAATTCTAGATGGCACTTAGAGGTTTTTGCATCTGAACTCTTTATATATTTTAGAGCAGTAATCACAATACCGTAAAACCGTGATATTTTTATCCAAGGTTATCATACTGTCAGAATCTTATATCGGCCCATGCCTATTGCCCAACAGCAATAATATTTGTCAAACTGTAGAGTGTCCTCTGCTTATTGCTGTATGTGGGCGGAGTAATACAAAGGTGAAGGGTAAAGAGGCGGGACTAGTGCTGCTACTAGCAGAATACCGCACAACTATCAGCCAATCAGATTCAAGAACTAGACAGAACTGCTTTATAAATATATATAGCCGTAATGATAATAATAACTAAACATTAATTATTATTATTATTATTAATATGAAGAATGATTATAATGATATTAAAAAAATTAACCAAATGTAAAGTAATGATAAAAAATCCCTTTAACAGCTGAAATTTGATGACAATGAAATAAAATAAAATGTGACACAAAATAAATACAAAATACATAATAAAAAAACGTTTGTCACTATTATAGTGTGCATCCCTAATGAGAATGTTTATCTGACTCCTGATGATGTGGATGTGTTACCTTGGCTCGGCCCTGATAGTTGAAGGTGAGCACGTAATCTCCTCTGCGCGTCTCACTCTGCCTCACCAGGAAGTTCCCATGACCGCTGACCCCGGCGTGCTGGACAAGGTAAGCCGCTCGCACACGAGAGATGGGCCCGTGGAACCAGGAGTAAGAAGACAGGAAGTGATGCGTTTTATTGTAGGCCTGCTCTGCAAGTCCAAAACCTAGCGGGCCTGAGGAGACACACACAAACTGAGTTTATACTGTACATACTGTATGTTCTGTCTTTCAACCCTCACAGAAACCATTCAGAGCTTTTACAATGCCAGAATATCTCAATCTGAGTGATTTATGAGCCGGTGTCCTCACGGGGACCAAAAACATCCCCACACTGGGTCAACGAGGGGTCAAAACAAGGTCAGATGAGTTGGGACTACTATATTTGATGAGGCGCACACACAAACACACACACGCGCACGCATGCACATGCATGAACAAGCACACACACTTTGACACATTCAATCATGCACATACACGCACACAAACAAAAAGACACACACAGTCACACACACGCATGGATACAGACTCACACATACACCAACACGCACACACATGCACTCACACGCACGCACACGCATGCACACGCACGCACGCACGCACGCACGCACGCACACACACACAAACACACACACACACACACACACACACATACAAACATAGACACACAGACTTAAGTGTACACACACAAACAAAAAGACAGACAGACACACACACACACACACACACACCAACACAGACTTGCACTCTCTCACACACATGCAAACAGACATATCAACTTATGTACGCATGCACACACATATATACCAACAAAAACGCGCACTAAAGCAGGCACACATAGTCACACCCACACATGGGCGTAAATCCCAGAGGGACCTGGGAAGACATGCCCCCTCCCATCCGAGGGTTGTCTCACCCCTTTATTCTGCTTCAGGAGTCAGTCAGTTGACTGTAAACAACACAGCAAACAATGCAATAAATAGTTTTGAAGAAAAATGTGCTTTGTCGTTGAACCTGAGAAAAACTTTGACAATAATCATAATGACGTAGTCTCCATGCTATAATAATAATGATGAAACCATTTTTAACTGCGGGGACATATCTTTATTAGTACAATTCGGCTGTGTTATTTGTGTCCTCTTCAAAAAAAAAAAAATGCTCCAAAGAAATTTTATATTTATTGTCCCCCCAACTGTTAAATCACATTTACGCCCATGCACCAACAGACACATGCACACAAACACACATGCATTTGCACACACACACATATATACCAAAAGACACACACACACACACACACACACACACACACACAGTATGTTTACAAGTTCTGAAAATGCCTCTTATCTGATTTCCAGCTTACAGCAAGCTGTCGATTGCCTCCTGAAATAATTTCAGCTTATCTTTCAGCATGTACACACACACACACATACAGTACATACACACACACACACAGCAATGAAAACGTGTGACCCTCAAAATCTAATCAGCAAATGTACATACAAGTACAAATACAGCTGAACCCAAACCTCAAAATATATCTTTACAATTCTCTCTTTACATTCATTGTGGTGTCTTTTCATAGGTCACGTACACTCACTGGCCACTTTATTAGGTACACCTTACTAGTACCGGGTTGGACCCAATTTTGCCTTCAGAACTGTCTCAATCCTTCATGGCATAGATTCAACAAGGTGCTGGAAATATTCCTCAGAGATTTTGCTTCATATTGACATGATAGCATCACACAGTTGCTGCAGATTTGTCGGCTTCACATCCATGATGTGAATCTCCCGTTCCACCACATCCCAAATGTGCTCTATTGGATTGAGATCTGGTGACTGTGGAGGCCATTTGAGTATAGAGAACTCATTTTAATGTTCAAGAAACCAGTCTGAGATGATTCATGGCATGTTATCCTTCTGGAAGTAGCCATCAGAAGATGGGTACACTGTGGTCAGAAAGGGATGGTCATGGTCAGCAACAATACTCAGGAAGGCTGTGGTCTTGACACAATGCTCAATTGGTACTAATGTGCCCAAAGTGTGCCAGGAAGATATCCCCCACACCATTACACCAGCACCACCAGCCTGAACGGTTGATACAAGGCATGATGGATCCATGCTTTCATGTTGTTGACGCCAAATTCTGACCCGACCATCCGAATGTCACAGCAGAAATGGAGACTCATCAGACCAGGCAACATTTCTCCAATCTTCTATTGTCCAGTTTTGGTGAGCCTGTGTAAATTGTAGCCTCAGTTTCCTGTTCTTAGCTGACAGGTGTGGCACCTGGTGTGGTCTTTTGCTGCTGTAGCATATCCGCCTCAAGGTTGGACGTGTTGTGTGTTCAGAGATGCTCTTCTGCATACCTTAGTTGTAACGAGTAGTTATTTGAGTTACTGTTGTCTTTCTATCAGCTGGAACCAGTCTGGCCATTCTCCTCTGACATCAACAAGGCGTTTGCACACACAGAACTGCCGCTCACTGGATATTTTCTCTTTTTAAGACCATTCTCTGTAAACACTAGAGTGTGTGTGAAAATCCCAGTAGATCAGCAGTTTCTGAAATACTCAGACCAGCCTGTCTGGCAGCAACAACCATCCCATGATCAAAGTCACTTAAATCAGCTTTCTTCTCCATTCTGATGCTCGGTTTGAACTGCAGCAGTTCATCTTGATCATGTCTACATTCCTAAATGCATTGAGTTGCTGCCATGTGATTGGCTGATAAGGCATTTGTGTTAACAAACAGTAGAGCAGGTGTACCTAATAAAGTGGCAGCTGAGTGTGTCTTATAGGTCACGATTTTTCCTTGTTTCATGCTTTATTTTACATTTACCACAGATTATTGTTACATTGTAGGTTTATCTGTCTGTCTACTTTGTCTATGTCTGCAAAAACTATAATAAAAAATAAATAAATATATATGTATATAAATAAAAACCCAAATAAATAAATAAAAAATATTTAAATAATATAAAAATACATCTTTACAACAGAGTGAATTGTTCACAACAAATGATTTAGCGGTGCACATTCATATAATTATTTCTATCATTTTTTAATACATAAATCTTGAAATCAAAATAAGCTTCCTTTATCTCAAGCGGACCCTTATTTTGGAAAGAGATATCAAAATGCAGATTTATATAAAGCCAAAAAAAAAGTTAAAATCCGAAAAGATAAACAATGCAGATTTATTTTCATAGCCTCAGCTCATTTTGACCTTGCACAGTGTGTGTGTGTGTGTGTGTGTGTGTGTGTGCATGACTCACTCTGGCCTCCAGGATCTGAGCTCCCTCTGCGAGCGGCGCTGAGCGAGTCGCTAACAGGAAATGGTTCTCCATCCACATTATCTGACCTGGAATCACAGAATTACAGCCTCATAAACATCTGCAAACTGAATCTGCATAACCAACAGCTCACAGAAGCTCAATAACATCACATATGCTGAGCTTCACATGTCTATGCATATATATGTCATGACACACATACACACGTGCACGCGTTATATGGAGCGCACCAATGCGGAGATACGTCCGATATACTTTTATAATAAATGTAAGAAATAAGTACTCTAATATGTACAGTATGTGCAATAACAATACTAATGATTATAAAAACAGCAGAAAAACTATGTAACACACATACCTATACAAGCACGCACACACACAAGCACAAAGTATGTGGATTTACTTTAGATTAGGTTAAAAATTCGTTTTTTTCTGTTCTTAAAAGTAAACATATTGTCATTTATAGCATCTAAATAACTTTAATACATTTTTTACCGTATTTAAAAATATTAGTATATAAAGCTATTAAAAATAACAAACATTTTTTCATTTGCTGTGATTCAAAATTAGCACAATTCCATCAAAGATTGTTTTCGCAGCTCAAAGCATATACATACATTCACTGGCCACTTTATTAGGTACACGCTACTAGTACTGGTTTGGACCCCCTTTTGCCTTCAGAACTGCCTTAATCCTTCGTGGCATAGATTCAACAAGGTGCTGGAAATATTCCTCAGAGATTTTGTCCATATTGACATGATAGCATCACACTTTTGCTGCAGATTTGTCGGCTACACATTGATAATGCCAACCAGCCGTTCCACCACATCCCAAAAGTGCTCTATTGGATTTAAATCTGGTGACTGTGGAGGCCATTTGAATGGAGTGAACTCATTGTCATATTCCAGAAATCAGTCTGAGATGATTCACGCTTTATGACATGGCGCGCTATCCTGCTGGAAGTAGCCATCAGAAGATGAGTACACTGTGGTCATAAAGGGATGGTCATGGTCAGCAACAATACTCAGGTAGGTTGTGGCGTTGACCCCATGCTCAATTGGTACTAATGTGCCAAAAGTGTGCCAAGAAAATATTCCTCACACCATTACACCACCACCACCAGCCTGAACTACTGATACAAGGCAGGATGGATCCATGCTTTCATGTTGCTGATGCCAAATTCTGACCCGACCATCCGAATGTTGCAGCAGAAATCGAGACTCATCAGATCAGGCAACGTTTCTCCAATCTTCTATGGTTCAATTTTGGTGAGCCTGTGTGAATTGTATCCTCAGTTTCCTGTTCTTAGCTGACAGGTGTGGCACCCGGTGTGGTCTTCTGCTGCTGTAGCCCATCCGTCTCATGGTTGGACGTGTTGTGTGTTCAGAGATGCTCTTCTGCAGACCTCTGTTGTATCTAGTGGTTATTTGAGTTACTGTTACCTTTCTATCAGCTGGAACCAGTCTGGCCATTCTCCTCTGACCTCAACAAGGCATTTGCGCCCACAGAACTGCCGCTCACTGGATATTTTCTCTTTTTCAGACCATTCTCCGTAAACCCTAGAGATGGTTGTGCATGAAAATCCCAGTAGATCCACAGATTCTGAAATACTCAAACTAGCCTCTCTGGCACCAACAACCGTGCCACATTCAAAGTCACTTAAATCTTCTTTTTTCCCCATTCTGATGCGCCTAAATGCTTGGCTGGTGATGGGCTGATTAGAAATTTGCACAAATCAGCAGCTGGACAGATGTACCTAAAGTGGCCGGTGAGTGTATATATTAAGGAAACCTACTGGTTACAAATTTTGTCTGTAACATTTTCACAGTTTTAGATTTTGTTTTTGTTTTTTACATTGTATTTCACTCCACCCTGTGTGTGTGCGTGTGTGTACTGTATAAGCTGGTCTTGCTGTAAAATCATCGTATACAATGGTGTTTTGGTTTGTCCAAGAATTACAAGAATACATTTCCTGACACATGAGCTTTTGTGCTGCTTTTTCTCCCGCAACTTCCCCAAACAACATCCTCCAGTCTTGCTTCATTGTATCCCTTTAAGTTTCAGCAAGACATCGTTTTTTTTTTTCTGTCTAATTCAGATCCGCTCATCTCTTAACCATCACTCTGCATTCAACACATTGCATTCATATTTATCTTCATGTATTTATTTAAGTCAATATTGTGTTAAGTTTTACTTTAACGTCATTAATAATGGTCCAATAGTTCATGTATTTACTAACACGAACAAACCATTAGTGATACATTTATTACATCTTTGTTAAATTTAGTTAACGATACTAAAGTAAATAACAGTCATGTCAACTCACAGTGCATTTACTAATGTTAACAAGCATAACTTTGAATTTTAATAACGCATTAATAAATGTTGAACTATGATTAATAAATGCTGCACAAGGTTATTCATACCTATTTAATGTTAGTAAATACATTGACTAATGGACCATTGTTTTAAAGTACCTTTATTATCGTCTTTATGCTTTATTGTCTAAATATCTTGTGAAGATGTACAAGAGAGACAGAGAAAACTAAAATCTAAATGAACTCTTTGTCAATTTATTTAAGTCTATTTTATTTTTAAAACTAAAAATATTTTCGGAGAATTCCCTACATTTATTTTAGTATTACTGTTTTTTTTTTATCATTTATTAATTATTACAATTCTATACAGCTTAAAGTGACATTTAAAGGCTTAACTAGGTTAATTAGGTTAACTAGGCAGGTTAGGGTGATTAGGCAAGTTATTGTATAATGATGGTTTGTTCTGTAGACTATTGAAAAAAATATGAGGGGCTAACAATTTTGACCTTAAAATGGTTCTTAAAAAATTAAAAACTGCTTTTATTCTAGCCGAAATAAAACAAATAAGACTTTTTTCAGAAGAAAAAATATTATCAGACATACTGTGAAAATTTCCTTGCTTTGTTAAATATTATTTGGGAAATATAAAAAATATATATAAAAATAAAAAATATATATATATATAAAAAAAAGAATAATTCAAAGGGGGGCTAATATTCTGCCTTGTTTGTATATACATATACATACATACATACACACACACATACACACACATATATATATATATATATATATATAAACACACACACACACACATACATACATACATACATGCATACATACATACATATATATATTCACACACACACACACACACACACACACACACACACACACACACACACACACACATATATATATATATATATATATATATGTATATTAAATAGAAAATCAAACGGAAAGTCTCTTGTAAGAGGAACTACTTTCTTCCACCATTCATTCACATCTGCAGCTGACATCCGAACAGTAGAAACCGTTGCTCATTCACTAAAGTCACTTCAGAGCTGGTATTTGAAAGATTTTCTAGCGTAATTTCTAAAGTGATGACAAAACAGCTAATTTTTCTTTAAATTTGAAGATTATAAGGCTGAAATTCTATTTCAGTCTACAGATATCTCCCAGTATTTTTCTGTTGAAATCAGGAGATCACAATACTACTATAGTAAAAATACAGCACTGCAACATACAAAAGAGAGAGATCAACTTAGAAAGTCATTTTAAAAAAGTGTCTTTTTTTTGTAAATGATTTAGTTTTTAATTTACTTCATACTTGTATTACTATTATTTTAATAGTATTAATATTTTAACTTATTGTAATCAGTGAAGATACAGATAAAGACTTTGATAACCATTTTATTGTAAAAACTTTTAAAAATGTGCTTTTTAAAATATTGTTAAAATACTATTGAATAAACTCAATGAAACGGAAACTGTTTTTTTATTTGGTTAAACATAACAATATAAATGTTAGAATAATTCAACCTAAATAACTACATTGACTAAAGCTAAATTATGAATGTTATGTTCATTGAACAAAACAACATTACATTATCTTTATGTAACTAACTTATGCTCACTAAAATAAATGTTCTTTCTTAAAGAAAACTTAACTCGGTTACGTGGAACCAGTGGACAAAAAAAAGTTAATTAACTCCAACATATCATTTTTTTTGAGTGCATGTAATTTTTTTGAGTGCATGCCTAGTTGTGTGTGTGTATATATATATTTATATGTGATTTATATGTTTATATGTAAAAATAAAACGTTTTAAAAAAAATAAAAAATTTTAGCGTCTTAAATTCATTTTATCTATAGTTTGTGTTATTATAAATTTAATTTATATTTTAGTTTGTAAATAACCTCTAAAAAATCTCCTCTGGTTCTCTTTTTGTGTATTGTATAAATGCTTTGGCAATACTGTGCAAGTCATGCCAATAAAGCTGATTTGAATTTGAAAGAGAGCGAGAGAAGGGGGCATGGAGAGAAAGGAGGCCATGCGATGTGCTGAGTTGAGTTCTTGAGATTCTTAGTAATCAGAATAACAGGAAGACCTCTCTCTTTCTCTCTCTCTCTCTCTCTCTTCCTAAAACAGTGATACATTCACACAGCCTTGAGTTCTCAGTACCCTCACACCAATAAAAGGAAATGAAACGCGCAAATACACACACAAACACACACACACCTTTCGAGTCAGACATCACATATGCACAACACACTGACAGTATGAGGGGAGCAAACAATGATTTTGCTCCTTAGGTCTATTCTTTCAATGCAATGTAAAGAAATCAAACAAAGCCCACTTATAAAGTCACACTTTATCAATTTGTGTCTGCAGATTTAAATTTGATTGAACACATTTATTAAAGATTGTTTTCTCAAAAATGAGTTTTATTCTCCTGCACTGAATTATCATTCTTCACTTCAGCAGCTTTTACAGACAACAAACGCTCTTATTAGGCAGTTTCTCTCTTTCATAATTTGCCTGCTTATATATCTGGCTGCAGACCAATCTCACATGCACATGCACAATCATACACTCAGTGCTTTCCTAACAGGATATAATCGCCCTCAGAATAACACTTTATAGTGAAAAAAAAAACCTGGCAACCATATTGAAAGTGTCATTTTAAACCAAAGTGCTCAAATCAGGTAATTTCGAAGGGTCCTTTAGATTGAAGTATTGTCAGAGCCCCTAGGTTTTTGCGATTTTTTGATGGCTGAATACAAAGCAAAATATAGGTGTAATTTTTTGGGATCCTGCAAAATTCTTAATTTAAACGCAAAATAAATGAGAAGGGTCTGGCTGCAGACTTGCACTTGCATCTTCAGGCATGCACACTCAGGCACCCACACTTCCTATACAAGTGACGTCATTACCAATTGTAACCTGCACCTGTCACGTCACTTGAAATTGTCACAAATAAACAAAAAGTAAGTTTCCAGTGCATTTCCATTGACGGTGACGATGTTGTCAAATAATCGCAAAACTGTTCGCAAATTTCTGGGAATTATCACCACAAAATCACTCACTTTTGTCGCAAACGTGAAAACTAAGACGGTCTGTATTATGAGAAATATAACTGAAGGACTCTTCAGTTTATGGGCATTACTGGGCCTATTTAAGGGGGGCTTTAGCTATATTTCTACTCAGCCCCCCTAAAACTTTTGCAATTAGCTCATAAAATAAAATAAATAAATAAATAACTGTATATATATATACATATATATATATATATATTTATTTATTTATTTATTTTATGATAATCGCAAAAGTTTTAGGGGGGCTAAGTAGTAATATATAGCTAAAGCCCACCTTAAATAGGCCTAGTAATGCCCATGGACTAAAAGAGTCCTTCAATTATATTTCTCATGTATATATATATATATATATATATATATATATATATATATATATATATATATATATATATATATATTTTTTTTTTTACCTTATAAGACTTGTATGTGTGTGTATCTATATATACATATACATATATATATATATATATATATATATACATACACACACACACACACACACATATATATATATATATATATATATATATATATATATATATATATATATATATATATATATATATATATCTTCGGTGTGGAGTTTGCATGTTCTCCCTGTGTTGGTGTGGGTTTACTCCGGGTGCTCCGCTTTTCCCCACAGTCCTGTGCTATAGGTGAATTGGATAAACTAAATTGGCCGTATTGTATGTGTGTGAATAAGTGTGCACGGGTGTTTCCCAATACTGGGTTGCAGCTGGAAGGGCATTCGCTGTGGAAAACATATGCTGGAATAGTTGGCGTTTCATTCCAATGTGGAAACCCCTGATATACAAGTGTGTGGTATGTGAGAGAGAGTGTTTGATAGTGTGTGTGCAAATATCTGAAAGTGTGTGTCCTTGTAAATGTTTTAGAGTGTTTGTGTGTGTGTGTGTGTAGGTTTATGTGCGTGAGAGTATCTGAGTAAGAATGTGTGCAAGTGTATTAGTGTGTGTGCATACTGCAGTCTGTGAGTGTGTGCGTGAGTATGTGTCTGTACATGTTATAAGTGTGTGTGTGTGTGCGCAAGTGAGTGTGTAAAGTGTGCATGTCTGGGACTGCATGTCCATGAGTGTCTTAGAGTGTGTGTATGTTCATGTGCATGTGAGTGTCTGAGAGAGTGCGTGTGTGAGTTGAAATATGTGAGTGCATGTGTGTGTGTGTGAGTGTATGAGTGTGTAAAGTGTGTACTGCATGCTAGTCTGTGTTGTGTATGTTAGTGTATTTGAGGGCATGAGTGTTTGCGTGAATGAGTGAGTGTGTGAGTACATGAGTGCGTGTGAAGGTATACGTGAGTGCATGAGAGTGTGTGTGTATAATTATATATAAGAGGTAGTGAGTGCTTTCTCAGTGAGAGGATGTCAGGAACTCTGTGAGGTGTGTGTTCAGTGGTGTATTGAGGAAAGTGTGTGTCTCTTACCTGCTGCTCATACATTCTCTGAGCTCAGTGGTCCAGGAGCTGACCTGCTGCTCATTATCGGCCTCAAATATAAAACCACCCGTGAGGCCAGCAACCTGGGAAACAACCAACATAACACACTCATCAAACATCACGATACAAGAAAAGATTGAGCTATCAACAAGCTTTAAGAGCAGCTGCTGTGTGTCTTGCTGGATGGCTGTAACAATATATAGCAGCTGACCAAGTTCAACTGAACAACTGGGTGAATGTGGATAAATTCGAGATTTCCTGCATCAGTCAATGGAAGGTCTCTTGGTCAATCAAAAGAGATGTGAAATTTCTCAAACAGCCTTGCACATCAATATGTCATTTCCTATTTTACAGCAAGTAATAAAGTGATAACATATTTTAGTATACACTCACCGGCCACTTTATTAGGTATACCTGTTTATCTGCTTGTTAACGCAAATTTCTAATCAGCCAATGCATTTAGGCATGTAGACATGGTCAAGAGGATCTGCTGCAGTTTAAACTGAGCATCAGAATGGGGAAGAAAGGGGATTTAAGTGACTTTAAACATGGCATGGTTGTTGCTGCCAGACGTGCTGGTCTGAGTATTTCCGAAACTGCTGATCTACTGGGATTTTCACGCACAACTATCTCTAGGGTTTACAGAGAATGGTCTGAAAAAGAGAAAATATCCAGTGAGCGGCAGTTCTGTGGGCGCAAATGCCTTGTTGATGTCAGAGGTCAGGGAAGAATGGCCAGACTGGTACCAGCTGATAGAAAGGCAACAGTAACTCAAATAAACACTCGATACAACAGAGGTCATCTCTGAACACACAACACGCCCAACCTTGAGGCGGATGGACTACAGCAGCAGAACACCACACTGGGTGCCATTCCTGTCAGCAAAGAACAGGAAACTGAGGATACAATTCACACAGGTTCACCAAAATTGAACCATAGAAGATTGAAGAAACGTTGCCTGGTCTGATGAGTCTCCATTTCTGCTGCAACATTCGGATGGTCGGGTCAGAATTTGGCATCAGCAACATGAAAGCATGGATCCACCCTTCCTTGTATCAACGGTTCAGGCTGGTGGTGGTGGTGTAATGGTGTGGGAGATATATTCTTGGCACACTTTGTACCCATTAGTACCAATTGAGCATGGTGTCAACACCACAGCCTACCTGAGTATTGTTGCTGACCATGTTCATCCCTTTATGACCACAGTGTACCCATCTTCTTATGGCTAATCCAGCAGGATAACGCGCTATGTCATAAAGCGTGAATCATCTCAGACTGGTTTCTTGAACGTGACAATGAGTTCGCTATACTCAAATGGCCTCCACAGTCACCAGAGCTCAATCCAATAGAGCACCTTTGGGATGTGGTGGAACGGGAGTTTTGCATTATGGATGTGAAGCCGACAAATCTGCAGCAACTGTGTGATGCTATCATGTCAATATGAAGCAAAATCTCTGAGGAATATTTCCACCACCTTGTTGAGTCTTATGAAGGATTAAGACGGTTCTGAAGGCAAAAGTGGGTCCAACTCGATATTAATAAGGTGTACCTAATAAAGTGGCCGGTGTGTATACATATGTGTGTGTCCGTGTGTGCATATATATATATATATATATATATATATATATATATATATATATATATATATATATATATATATATATATATATATATAAACATTTTACGTACAGACAAACTATCATTCAAAGTTCTACAAGATTTTTTGCCAAGTTTATTTATTTACATTTTAGGCATATATTATATACACATACAAACATAAGTAATACACTGTCTGTTTTTCACAATCTAGAACTGATGACCATAAAAACAATATAGTTATTAAATAACAGTAAATTTGAAATAAATAAATAAATAAATAAATAAATAAATAAAAAAATAATAAATTCAAGATCAACAGTGTCAATATAAGTGAGTGGACAAAGGTTTTCATGTTATGTAAAAAGATTTTGAAGACCCTGTTAATGAAAACCTTTTTTTCCAGCTTTAAACACACAAAAAATTATTATCACATCACATCACAACACATTCATTCACATCACAACACAACGCAACACAACACACAACACAACACAACACAACACAACACAACACAACACATTCATTAACATCACATCACATCACAACACATCACAACACAACACAACACAACACATTCATTCACATCACATCACATCACAACACAACGCAACACAACACACAACACAACACAACACAACACAACACAACACAACACAACACAACACAACACAACACAACACAACACAACACATTCATTAACATCACATCACATCACAACACATCACAACACAACACAACACAACACATTCATTCACATCACATCACATCACTACGCAACACAACACAACGCAACACAACACAACACAACACAACACAACACATTCATTCACATCACATCACATCACAACACAACACAACACAACGCAACACAACACAACACAACACAACACAACACATTCATTCACATCACATCACATCACATCACTACGCAACACAACACAACACAACACAACACAACACAGCACAGCACAGCACAACGCAACGCAACGCAACACAACACAACACAACGCAACGCAACACAACACAACACAACACAACACAACGCAACAAAGTAACACCCAAAAGAATCCGTCTGAAATATATACAGTTGAAGTCAGAATTATTCACCCCCCGTTTATTTTTTTCCTTAATTTTTGTTTAACAGACAGCAGATTTTTCAACACATTTCTAAACATAACAGTTTTAATAATTCATCTCTAATAACATTATAATATAGTATTATAATATTATATATATATATATATATATATATATATATATATATATATATATATATATATATATATATATATATATATATATATATAATTAAAAAATATTTTATCTTTGCCATGATGACAGTAAATAATATTTGAATAGCTAATCTTCAAGACACTTCTCTACAGCTTAAAGGCTTAAAGTGATATTTAAAGGCTTAACTAGGTTAATTAGGCAGGTTAGGGTAATTAAGCAAGTTATTGTATAACGATGGTTTGGTCTGTAGACTATCAAAAATAAATATAGCTTAACGAGGCTAATAATTTTGACCTGACAATAGTCTTAAAAAATTAAAAACTGCTTTTATTCTAGCTGAAATAAAACAAATAAGACTTTCTCCAGAAGAAAGAATATTCTCAGACATACACCGAACATTTCCTTGCTCTGTTAAACATCATTTGGGAAATATTTTTAAAAGGGACGCTAATAATTCTGACCTCAACTGTTTCTATTTTTGTCATTGCCATTAAGCAGTTTATGTCTGTCTGAAGTCTTGATTTACCTTTAAGACGAATGTGTTCATGTTATCAGGCATCTCTAGGCGATTACAGCGTCGAATCTCTTTGATGTCTGAACAGTGTACGGAAATCTTTGGCATTCTGTAGTCCTAAAACACAAAAGAATGCAACAGAATATAAGAAATATATCAAATATTCTTATTCTTTCACAAAAGATGTGAAAAACATTACATATACACATAAAAAAAAATATCAGTAACTCTGTAAATATTGTGCATGAATATTGTCTTTATAGTTTTATATTACACTGGAAACACTGGAAAAAGGGTGACAGTGGCACAGTAGGTAGTGCTGTCGCCTCACAGTTAGAAGGTCGCTGGTTCGAGCCTCGGCTCAGTTGGCGTTTCTGTGTGGAGTTTGCATGTTCTCCCCGCCTTTGTGTGGGTTTCTTCCGGGTGCTCCGGTTTCCCCCACAGTCCAAAGACATGCGGTACAGGTGAATTGGGTAGGTTAAAATGTCTGTAGTGAGTGTGAATGAGTGTGTGTGGATGTTTCCCAGAGATGTTTTGCGGCTGGAAGGGTATCCGCTGCTTAAAAAGGTGCTGGATGAATTGGCGGTTCATTCCGCTGTGGCGACCCTGGATTAATAAAGCGACTAAGCCGAAAAGAAAATGAATGAATGAACTCTGGAAAACAAACAAACAAACAAACAAACAAACAAACAAACAAACGAAAAATGAGATTGTGTTCTTTTCAAAAGAGGGCGGAGCTACAAATGCCTGTGTCAGCATAGTGGCAGATTCAAAAACAAGACTAATGTCCTATGCTAATGAGGGAGAGATTGTCACTAATGGGCGGGGCTTTCCTCATCTGATGACACGTACAAGGGGAGAATGTCAATCAAAGTGTTTCTGCAGACTGTTTTATCAAGTGTGGTTATAAACAATAAAAATAATAATTTATTACCATTAGAAGCTGGTTATATTCATACACTGTTACAACACAACTGTGTTTAAACCCTTCATAATGGTGATTTTGCATAACAGTCGCCCTTAAAGTGTATATATAAGAGGAAATGATATGTTGTTTAATAATCATGTTTACCCAATACACCAAAATATATACCTCATAAAGCTAAACACATGCATTACTAGTGCAGGACACACTCAAAGATGTCGTCCAGTGTGGTTTAAAACAGAGAGAGAGAAACGACAGAGGGATCATTTTCTTGTTCTACTGGGATTAGCCAAAGAATGTTCATCTGGAAATTAAGAGAGAATAGAGCTATGACCCGTGATCTGAAACCTTCAACCTACGCCCACACACACACACACACACATACACATACACACGTAGACGCAAAACACACACAGCACATCTCCTTGGGGAAAGAGGAGAGAGGATTCTGGGAAGTGGCGAATGGATCCGGTCTCTCTGAGAGCTGCAGGAATTTCCAGCGTGCATCCCGTCATTTCAGACACATCAAAGATCCCGCCATGAAGAAGCTGTTTGTGTCTCGCACGATATCTGACATTAGGAGTGAATCAGGCTGAATCATGGCTTAAAATAGCTTCACACGCACAGGCTCGTGCCAAAGCAGCAGTGCTTAATTTAATATTAACATCTTTCCTCTTTGAATGGCAGTTTCTACTCTCACACAGAGAGGAGAAAACCCTCATTCACATCCCACATACTGTAGAAACATGCACTTCTGCTTCAATTCCAGGAGAAGAAGTGATCGAAGGATTACACACCCCACGACACCAGCAGTAAAGCTGATGATTTGTTTCTCTTCTCTTTTTCTCACCACTGAGACAAATGCATGCGACTCAATAATAGACCTACAAAAAACTCCAGTATTTAAACATCCAGAAGTCTCAAGGCCGGTACACACCAAGCCAATTAACCATGTAGGGCCAACGGTCAGTTCTGGTAGTGGGTTTGGTGTGTTCCACAATCTCTTTTCATTGTATTCGACAGAAAGCAATGTAGACAGAGCATGTACAGGGGCTGGACGATGAAACTGAAACCCTGGCCAATTTAGTGATGGAGGTTTTATGGCTGAATCAGACCAATCTTCATTGCACATTCCACTAGAGAAGAGCGTGAAGGTTTGATTAGCAGAGTAATAGCACAGTTTTGCTTAAAATATTGCAGTGCACACAACAATATAAGTGAGATATCAGCGTTCAAGTCTCTGTGATGTATCAAGAGCTACAGGATCCAGAGTAATGTTGACAAACCACCAAGAAGGACGAACCACATACAACAGGATTAACTGTGGACATCTGTCTGAAAGGAACGTTCGGGTGATGTCTCTCACTGTTTCTACCAAGTCTGTTCGTTGGGAGCTCCACAGGGTCAACGTACATGGCCGGGCTGCTATAGCCAAATCTGTGATCACCCATGCCGATGCGAAAGGTCCGTTTGAATGGAGCCAGCAGCTAAAAGTCTTGAGCTGTGGGAAATGTGAAACATGTATTGTTCTCTGATGAGTCCACCTTCACTTTTCCACATCTGAGAGAGTTATGGTGTGGAGAAGCCCCAAAAAAAGCATACAACTTTTGCATGTTCAGAGTCAGGGCTGGACTGGGGCAAAAAAATCGGGCCAGGCATTTTGGGCCAGAGCGGCCCACTACATTCAATCAAAATGCGATCTATCTATGCACGTAAAATATTTTTATCAACTCCTTTTTTTATAAAAACACAAAAGCCATATATATGAAATAAATAAATACAAACTTTAATCTCAATTTAATTTCTGTATACTGTCCATAAAGATATTTGTTGAGTTCTAAAAAAATACACTATTCATTTATTTATTTTCCTTCGGCTTAGTCCCTTATTTATCAGGGGTTGCCGCAGCGGAATGAACTGCCAACTTTTCCAGCATGTTTTATGCAGCAGATGCCTTTCCAGCCACAACCCAATATTGGAAATCACCCATACACACACATTCACAAGCACTCAAACACTAGAGCCAAATTAGCTTATTCAATACAATATTCACTCAGCCTATATTCAATAATGAACATAACAAAAACTGCCTGCTAATGCATGGGTAAATATTAACAATGAAAACATAATATAAGGAAATTTGTTAAATTTTGATATTATGATTAACAGACACCAAACAGCCTTGTGTAGCTACATATGTATATAAGCGTCATCTTCATTCTGCATATTTATAACAAAACAGGGCTTAAACATAACTGTCTCCTTTCATTTCCATTGAAAAGAATGAACTTTACCCCATCTCTTTTACAGAATATCAGTTTTAATAATCAATAATGGCCATTATAACAGTATAATGTACATTAAATTTAAACGATAAAGGTAAGCAATCAGTCAATGTGCAGAATCAGTATATCTGGTTACATAATTTAATATATTAACTTATCTTTTCACTCAGCCAAAACAGTTACCTGAGAACAAGTGATTCAAAAGTTATGAGTTGTTAGATAGACTAGATGAATTCAATATCATGTTTAACAACTATAGTGAGATGAGATCCACCAGATGAACTGACCTGTACTATACTCTTACCTAGGGTTGTAACAATATACCGGTATGACGGTTTACCACGATTTGAACGTGCACGATTATCATACCATGAACAATTGCATATCAACGGTTTTAACCCTAAAGACCGAGACAGCCGCCCGCGGCTAAAAATAAGTATTGCTCTTAAATGTTTAATAACTTTTGATCCGCTGATCCGATTCATACAATTCAAAGATTGGCATAAAGAAGAGAATCTCAGCTTTCCAGTGCTGTATCACATAACATTCGCGGACTTTCAGAGGCTCCGGAATCAGTGCGGTTACCTCATCAACATTTGACAACGCTGATTTGACAAAGAAACGCTCGTCACTGTGTCTCCGGACAAATCAGACATGGTACATTGATGCATTGTCCCTCCTCCATGCCCAGATTGGTTCAAACTCGCTATATCACAACCAATAAGCATAGGTTTCACTTTTGTTTGTGGACCAAGCTTTTTGAACAACACGGAATGAGAGAAAGGCATACATTTATGCGCGGCTAAATAAAACGCAAAAAAAAAAAAAGTTTTGCATGAAATAATTCTCATACTAAGTACTTTTGCATGCACAGCAGCACAGAAACATGACAAAACAGTGACACAGCAAAGACGAACTGCTGCTCTTGCTGTTTTCAAAAGACGCAAATGAAGATGCAGCTGTTTGTCTGCATTGCAGACAACCATATCCAAATCCATATCCACAGACAACCATATCCATGCTGGCACATAAAACCTAAGGATGTTCCATATTGAATCTAGTTTCGTTATGTAACTATAGTATAGTAAATATTTATATCAATTTTTAACTGAGGATTTGCACCATGTTTATTTGGACTTTATTTGGACTTTGACACATTATTTATTATTTTCTTATTTTTATTTGTTCATTGTAAGTGGTGTTGTTTATAGTAACTGAAAATATATTATTTGGAAAAAGTCAAATTTGCTTCACTGTTCTATTATTTTGTAACATTTGTAACATACCGTATACCGCGAAACCGTCAAACCGTGGTATTGTTTTAGACGATTATCATACCGTGAAAAATTCATACCGTTACAACCCTACTCTTACCTGGGGTTTATGCTCACCCGCTGAACTACTGGCTGAAGCTCTTGGCAGAGAGTGTGTGGTCACATGATTTGCGTTTTAGCCGTGTATTAGAAAGAAGGGAGAACTTTTCAGAACCGCTAAATGAAACGCTGGTGTATTTCCCGCGATTTCTCTGCGCCTCCCTACCGTTTCTTCTCTCTGACTCTCAACTATTTTGACAAATACACACAGACGACGCACGCTCACACAGACCCCAAAATAGGAGTTTGTGATTGGGCCAGCCCAATGTCAATAAAGAAAAGAACCAATTGGCTGCAGAGTGTCACATGGGCCGGCCCGGTCTGTCTGTCCGGGAAAAAAGCATTTTACTTTCAGATAGTCACAGATCACAGGAGCGTCAATTAATAAGGCAGAGAAAAACGATAGGCTGCTAAGCCTTTTATGGGCCGATCAGATCATAAGACGATGATCAGCCCGGCCCAAAAAGTACATCTGCCCAGCGGGAAAGTGCCCGGTCTGCCAGATGGCCAGTCCGCCCCTGCTCAGAGTAAAGC